CTATAAACCCCCCCCCCCCCCTATTGGAAAATATGGATTTCACCAACAATATATATCAAGAGTTATTTTGAATTATTGAAAAAAATGATTTGCCGCGCAAATTCACTTCATCATATGGTATTTCAAAGAAACAAAACAAAAGTAACAACAATTGTTCGTTCTCTTCCTTAATATTTCCAGCCAAAAAATGTGATCAATAATGGGTTAGTCTCTGTGATGTGATGGTCGTCTATCATCTAAAATGTCATCCTCTTTGATGAATCCATAAATTTCGATGAATAGACAGGTTTTGATGATTTATGTTCTTCTGGCCTACTTGACTTTATAGGAAGTTGCGTGATTTGCTCCGGCGAAAGATTTTTGATCGGCCGGCAAGGGCGGAGCATCTGTTGGAATCAGAGAAGAAATGGAGGAAACTGCTTTAATTGCTTAGACAAGTTGGCTCTTAATTCACATTATGCCAAAACCAAATCTGGTTTGTCATACACAAATTTGATTACTACTGAAACTGAAAGCGATCAGATATTATGGTACTGATTATCGATATACATACAGTCGCGGACTCGTATATAGGCTTATATTGCAAAAGCCTAGTGCTAAAATATCGGCCCACTATCAAATGGGCCGAAGAAACCATTTACATACCTTGGTGATAATTTCACCAGCAAAAGAGTGTTTAGTAATGGATACAATCTACTGGGGAGAACAAAATATTTGATAATCTATTGAAGAATAGAACTTGTGCCTTGGCGTAAACAAACAAATGATCAGTTTTCAGACAAAGACTAAAACAACACGTGTTATTGAATTGAGTGCGTTGCTGTTCGAGAATAAGAGGGAAGCGCGAGTGACGGAACAAGAGGGAAAGGGATTAAACTCCAAAAAACTTATTTGCGCAGAGAGTTTCGACGTTTCAGTGTTTTTACATTTTGACCCCCTACATTTTATTTTCGATCAAAATTGGAATGTTTTTTTTTAGTTCGAGATGAAATTAGGACAACATAACAGTACGTTCATATGAACCACAAACTTACCTGGCGTTTTATCAACGTAACAGCCACGTGATATGTGAACATTGTTAAATATTAGTGTTGCCACTATAGGCATACAAATGTTGTATATATTAGAGCACCCCCATTGAGAGTTCAAATGGGGGTTCACACGGAAACCAAAAAAATAAAATAATAAAATAACAAAAATTTATGAACCCCTCTCTGCTAAAGTTCACCCGGGTGAACCCCTCTCTCCTAAGGTTCACCACGTGTCAGTTCGGGATTGGTCTAGGTCTTTTTTTTTTCTTTTTTTTTAAAAAAAAATCAAAAAAAAAAACAGAAAAATTTTAATAATAAAAAACTGATTCAATGAACCCCAAGAGGGGGTTCATTGATGTGGATGCTCTTAGTCTTCAAGGTTTAAGATTGTTTATTAATTGAATCTCTATTCCTAGTAGCAAACTACCATTTGGTTCTCGAGTGCCAACAGGTTTCTACTTTGTTTGTGGGACCGCCCGAGTAGTGAAATGTTAAACCTTAAAAGAGGGTAAGTGCAACAAGTAAGAGATGAATATGGGAAAACAAACGCAAAAGCATAGTATTAGTACTTTGCTTGACAAGTTTGAACGTGAGTATATTAAAATACTTGACGTGAGATGTTGCCATGTAAAGAAAAAGATAATGATATGGAATCGTTGAACTTTAATATTTTTTTAGAATATATAGTCACAATCACAACACCTAAACTCCAAACCTACAAAAAAAAGAAGAAATACAACCACCAAAACATCGCGTACGTAGCCATGGCTTCAGTCCAAGGTACTCCACTTCCTCACCTCATTTGCCCTTACAATCGATACGGATACATTCTTAAGAATGGTGATAGAGATGTTGATTTTGTGATAAACGATAAGTATTTTTATTTTGTCGAAGGCGACAACTCTTTCCCTGATTACTACTTTGACCACCACCTTTACTCCCGTTATGGGTGGAACATGAAATCAGCAGATGGGTCTTTGTGTGGTGCTTGTAAATCTGAAGGAGTCAGTCAAGCCTGTTACTTTTGCGACAAATGTGAGGTATCCTATCACAAAGAATGCGTCGAGTCTTACCCTCAAATCACATCTGTTTTTCACCCTAAACACTCTCTCCAGCTAGTGTATGATCGTTTAGGTAAGAAGAATATATATTGTTCTTATTGTGATGCAAGTGGTGAAGATAATCGTGTAATGCTATATTACTATTGTTTTACTTGTGAGTTCGGTTTAGATCCTGTTTGCGCGCAAACTCCCTTATCCCTCCTGTACAATCCAAGTAGGCACGAGCATGACCTCACCATATTTCCGAGAAAAGTTGATTTGACATGTGACCTTTGTGGGGTATTTGGTAGCAAATCTCTCTTGTGTGTGTGTCTTCAATGTGACTTTATTATTCATACAAGTTGCATTTCTTTACCATTTGTCATAAAGATATCCCGTCATGACCACCGTCTTTCTTTTACATATTCTCTTCTTGGAATATTTTCATGTGGAGTTTGTCGTCAAAAGGTTGACGGTAACTATGGAAAATATTCTTGCATGAAAGATTGCACTTATGTTGTCCATTCCAAGTGTGCAACTCGGAAAGATGTGTGGGATGGAAAAGAACTAAAAGGAGAACCGGAAGACGAGTATGAAAATCTAAATAGTTTTGAAGTAATAGGTGATGGAATTATACAGCATTTCAGCCATTCACATCACATGATGTTTGAAACGAATACCACCAACATCGTGTATGGTGAAGAAAAGCTCTGTCAAGCATGTGTACTTCCATTCTATGGTGGTGGCGTTTACAAATGTGTGAAATCTAAGTGTGATTTTGTACTTCATGAAGCATGTGCAAATCTTCCAAGGAAAAAACAACATATGGCACATCCATATCCTTTTATTCTACAAGTGAGTGATACCGAAAATATTTTCTTCTGTGGATATTGTGATCGTTTCTCGTTTGGTTTAAGATATGTGTGTAACAAAGGGAGTGAGTCTATAAGCATAGACCTGCGATGTGCTGCAATATCTGAGCCATTTGACCAGCAATGCCATCGACATCCTTTGTTCTTAAGCAATGAACTTGGAAAATATAGACAATGTTCAATATGTGGAAAGTTGAAATTTCAAACTTTGAATTGTATCGAATGTGAATTATTTTTGTGCTTCTATTGTGCTACACTCCCATATAAAGTGAGATATGAGCATGATGAGCATTTCCTCACCCTTTCTTACAAAGAGAATGCAAGTCTCAATTGGTGTGAGGTTTGTGAGGAAACTTTTGATTCAAACAAATGGCTTTATACATGTCATGAATGTGGGACCGCCTTCCATATCCTATGTTTATTAGGAAAATGTGCACTTTATGTCAAGCCTGCTCAGAATCTCCTCCTGACAGAAGGTCAAAAGATAAATATAATTCCAAACAATGGTCTCTCTCGACCCATCTGCAAATATTGTGGAAGGCGTTGCCAAGAAAAACTAATGGTCGAACTTAATGATGATGTTGATGGAAGAATACTACTTTGTTATCGTCATTTGGCAGTGGGAGTGGGCCCTGACTAGGATGCGATCGGTAACACGTAGTATTAGCATTAGCGTTGAATTGTAATATGTATTATAATTTAATGTAATTTGCAATAAAAATTATGTAATAAAACTGTAAATTTATGTAGTCTGTTTGCAGTAGAAATACAAGTTACTATTTTCATTACATGTTGTAGACTAGTAGTTGGGTGTTACAAAAAAAAAAAAAAGACTAGTAGTTGGTATCATGTGTTGCTTTTACGAGTCTGTATTAAGGTAGTTTGTATAATATGAAGTTTTACTTGTAATGCATTGTAATCATTGAAATTCTCTGTGTAGTATAAGAAATATGCAACTCGTCAAATTGGCACCATGATAACTTGGCTCATATAAAAACAAGTAGTAAGATACCAGTCAAACACCATGACAGCAAAAATTGTCGTTAGTAGATGAAAAAATTGTGAGAAATGTAATTACGCTGATTGTAAATGGTTGTATTGACACACAGAAAAAAAAAATTACTGAATGTTCAAGCTTCAAAGTCACTTAAAAGGAAAATAGAAAAGGGTAACAAAGAAAACTGCATTAGTGTTCCTTTGAACTGGAATCTCACAAAAGTTTCTTAGAACATTATTATCCCATGACTCTTAAGTAGTGTTTTATTATGTTTATTTAATTATATAAATGTACTTAAGTGTGGACTTAAGAATTCTAGTTAAGAAACTCCCATTTTGAGTGGTCCAATGGGAATTTATTAATTAGGAGTTCTAAAAAAAAATATTTTTTTTAAAGATAAAATTTATTTATTAAATAAAATATATTAGAAAATAACATTTAAAACATAGATTTAAACAAATATATTAAGTGTTAAGAAAATATAAATATAATTTCATTATATAATGATAGATTCTTACTTATATAATATATGTATACATATAAATTATTAATTTATAATTTTAATGGACCATATATTTATATAGAATTTTCTAAAAATAATAGTATCTTATTATTTTGTCAATTTGTGTCAAATTTTGAATCGATCCAAGTTAAAACCAACAAAAATTATTAATTTATAGAGATTATTCATTTATCTCGTATTAACTTATAGAATTTTATCGAGGTTATTAATTTATCTCGTATTAACTTATTTTTATTTGATCTTGATCACACAAAAAACTTGAGTTCTGATTTGATCTTGACAAGTTTAACCCTTTCTGTTTGCTCTGTTATTACATGACTTGTTGTGTTATGTAAGTTCAGAAAAAAAACTCAGCAATCTATTGTCACAAATCATTTCCTCACTCCATGACATCTGTCTTTAAAATTTCTCAAAATTTGAAACTTCAAGCTTCGATCCATTAGGTGCAAGCAGATTCACCGTGTTCTACAATGCACTCATCTCTTAGCTTTTTAGTATCTGGACAAGCACAACATATCCTCTTCTTTGGCTTTGCCTCGGTCACAGCAACATCTTTGCTTGGCTGGTTCAAGTAACACGCACTGTCTTGTGCTTGTAAACCACTCACCCTACAATCACATTCTCACAATGTTAACACCACGAAAAAAATCCAGAAAACCACATTCAACAATAACTAAAGAGAAGAAACATTAGAATAAGGTAACATAGGTTAAGCTTAGTAGACGAATATACACATGAAACATTAAACATGTGAATGCTCTTCTAAGAGTAACAAAAGAGCAATGGTAAACATTTGACGCTTAAAAGGGTGCATTCATATTTTTGTTACTGGCTACACCAAGTAGTTTACAACCTTGATCATCCACAAAATAATTAAACCAATTGAAATGTTCTTCTAAGTTAAAAATCAATATATTCTGAAAGTGTTAATATCAACAAGCAATATCTATATTTCTCGTAAAATTAATAATCTCATAATTAAATATACATATATATATATATATATATATATATATATATATATATATATATATATATATTGAGAACTTTGAAGACAGAACCTTTCATTTGGGATGCTCTAAGAGCATCTACAATGTGAATATATAGTAAAGATGCTCCAATTTCACTTTATTTCTCACTCTATAAATGAGTGATGAGCAAACAAAAAAGTAGATTGCTCCATTTATGGAATAAACTCTATTATAGAATAGAAAATGAAATAGAATTGGAGTGTTTTTTTTTTTTTGGAGTGTTTACTACTCTCTTTTACTTCATTTTGGAAGAAAATATAGAGTTGGATTTGGAGATAATATAAGGTTCTAAACTAAGATTCTTTTCTTTGGTCTATTCTTTTTCCTCAGTGGACGTGGCCTGCAAAACCAATCCAAAGAATCTCAATTTTCACATCAAAGTGGTTTTGTTTCATACGAAGAAAGGTTTATTGCATTCTATGACTTGTATAGGAAGCAAATGTATTATTCCTTTGTAACCTGGCTTGAAGCATTTGCTTCACAAGATTCGACAACTTTAATTCTTCTTTTACTAGTCTTTTTCTGCATGCAAGATTTGACAACCTTTTACTTCTTCTCACAGAGAAGCTTCTGTTGCTGTTGATAAGTTCCCTCAAACTAACTCTTCTGCATAACGACGCTGCTGCGTTAAAAAAAAATCATTTCTTCAAAAACCTGCAAGCAACAGAGAAAGAGAGAGCACCTGAAACACAAAACAATCAAATACAAATACTCACATTGCCACACACAAACAGACATTTCACGATTGAGTAACTGCTTTAAACTATTAAATCTCTGATTGAATCATAACCCCAAATTGAAACCCTAATTATCCGAATTTTACCAACCTAAGTACTTGTAAAATGCCTAAGATATAATAATTTTCTACTCGGCTGCTTTCTGCTATCCATAAGATATAATAAGAAAGGAAGGAAGATACTTACCGGAAAACTCTGATTACGATAGTCTGCGGCAGGCGGACGGAAGAAGAGGGAAAGGGATTTAACTCCCAAACCTTATTTGCAAGTGTCAACTAATACGCGCAGAGAGTCTTGGTATTCACTTTTTGTGGGAGGTTTCGTTGGAATGGAGTTCCTCACGCCTTTGCTGCACACTTATTTTCTCTATAGCATCCATGGAGTTCGCTAGTTCCTGACAAACATTAGATCGATGGCTTAGTCAAGTGATTAGTCCTAAATGTTCAATATGAGAGATTAAACGCGACTGGCATCTTCCATGGCCAGAGAGATGAACCTAACATTCTATGATTCTACAGAGTAAAATCCTAAATGTTCAATAACGGTCTTACTTCAACTTTGCAGCTCAGCAGCCAACCATAGATGTCTAAAAGTGCATTAGTACCTCCATCTTTGCTGTACTATTGCATGTCATAGGATCAATAGATCATGCAGTGCATTGGCTTACTTAAAGACATGAGTTTCCATCAATTCCGAAGCAACATGTAAGGAAAGGCTCACATGATCACCGCTTTCAAACTTTTCACCAGAAGCCACTGGAGTGACGATATTGTGTCCAGGAATGCAGAGTGTAACCTTATGTGCCTGCACTTTAAAATATGTTACGCTACACTCTTTTAAGATAAAAACTATCAACTTTTGGTAATTGACAGCTCATGGCACTCTACTCTTGGCAAAACAATGCAAACAGTAGAAAAGAACTTGGTTACGTGGAAATAAAGAATTTGGTTCGTAGACATACCTTTGGATGACAGAATCCATGACCTCTATCATCTCACTGGTTTTGTACTACCCAGGGTCCTCCAAGAATCTCACCATTCCATCTTTCTGGTTGATAAGGGCATGTGTCTGACCATTCTGGTTGCTTGTACACTGCTTGCTTAACTAATCCAAGGTTCTTGTCCTGAGAAATAAGGATGAATGAAGATTAATCAGTGCAAGCTATAGGGTGAATGAGTAGCAACTGCAAGAATCAAAATAACAACACCACTATCGTATTTTCTTCGTTTAGTGCCTCTCCATCTTCAGCACCATCATCGTCGGCAGCAGCAGCTGTCTCATCTCCTCCGGAACTTGACGAAAGTGAACAAGGTTCGATCTTTAATTCTTTATTTTCACCAAGATGATAATTCCACTCAAAAATATGTCTCCGTTTGGAGTCAGCAAAGCGGCTTCGGTATGAAGAATATCATCGCCTGGTCTAGGTCTTCAAGATACACAGTTCCTTCTTGCTTCATTCATGTCAAGCCAATCGAAGTTATCCATGAATCTACGAGAGTTGTAAATATAGATTCCTTCCTCAAACAGCTCTGTCCCTAACCATGCATTGCTTATTTGGAAGGGAACAAGTTAATGCCGATTGTAGACAAGAGCCGTGTGAGCACAAATTGTGTACATAAGCCATAAACATATATATGCTTTCATTCATAAAAATGTCTTTCAAATAATATTGTTATTAAAAACAACAAACGATATAATACTTCCAATTTTTTTTGTCATTTTTATTCTACAAACTCATTGACTAACTTCAAAAATCAATATTTAATTTTTTCTTTTTCAATAGATAAGATAGCTAAGCCACTTAAATTTCCTTGTGATATACTCGAATGCATAAAAGATTTTATCAATTTCAGTTTTGAAAACTTCTTTCCAACAAATACAATCGAAACTAACATATTTCTATCAATATATAAGATTATGATCATTATTCACGATTAGGCAAACCATATAAGACTATTCAAGCAAAAAAAAAACTAAATAATAAAATAATTGGAAATCAGTTATTTATAATGATTGATGAAAAAAATTAAGATGAAAAGCTTTGTTATATGAAATATTCAATTTCTAAAAGTGATTGTAGATGAAAGATGGTAAGTCGATAATAATGTTATGTTCTTTGGCTGCGCTAACTTTTTTTTTGTAAGATTAACAAATTGTGGAATGTATGCATAATCTTCGTTTCTCAAATATAATCTTCGAAACAGCGTCTGAAAGCCTTCATGGAGTTATCACAAATCCAGATAACAACAATATCTTCAGCCATATATGCCACAATATCAGATTTCTACTCGCACGGATAGATTGTTGGAGTGTAGACCATGTCCGTTCCGTCCGCAATGAGTCAGCATCGTC